TTTCTTCTACTGTGTCATCAGGCAATATTTCATCCAACTGATCATCAGTTACGTAACAGAAAGTAGCTTCGTTTACTTTATAAACTAAAATCAAAACCCAAGTTACCATTAATAAACACACAAAAAGATTATGCCTCCGCTTTCAAAATTTTCAGCATACCATCTTTGGACACAATAAGTTCCAATGCTAATAATAATGTTTGAAATTTTTTATTGAATTGCTCCCAGGGTCCTGAGTCAACACACAAAATTTAAGGATTAAGCAACAATCATCAGAGCAGTTAGAATTTTTTAAGTGGAAATTCACCGCATCGAACAAAATCACGTTTTTTGGCGTTCTCTTATGATGAGTCGAAAAAAGATGTATTTTCGGTTAACAGTGATCATAAAACGCATTTGGTAACATGGTCCAACCCAAAACTTATTGTAAGGTACAATAGATAAGCACACAAAAATGATATGCCTCTGCTTCAGCATACCAGCCTTGGATATAACGCGTTAATAGCCTGTTAATAATGTGTATGTACACATAATCTTTATTCGTAATGATTTTTATTGAGCTAGCTTACAATCATATATACTTTAAGTAGATAGTTGTACTTATATGCAAAAATTTGGATGAAATTTTCAAATTTCCAATCGGTCAATATACGTTTAACGTACTCATCCATCTTTTGTATCACTCTATTCAGACTGTCAGGAGCGAATATAGAGGTTATGCATGTGTCACAGCACTGTAAGATTTTACTTATTGATTATTTTACCGTACGATTGCAAATCATTACTAAACTAACTTAATGTAGTTAAATAAATTCAAAGAATACGTACACAACAATACGAGGAAGACGATATATTACAATCTGATTGCAACGCAACTGACAGCATGCACGATTTTTCCAATATACCATACCGCGTTATATATATACATTGTGTCGCACTCCCGTAACTATACCGTCTGCCGAAGCGCATATTATATGTACAGGTATGTACTTATATACTAGCACTCTAGCAGTCGAAAAATGTGCATACCATCTCGGTTTTGCTCAAGCTATCTTCGGTATGGGAAAAAACGGCACCAAGGCTGTGGAATTACCAGTGATAGCCCCATGGCACAGCATGCTGGTCGTCTGTACAGCCCCTGTTTATTAATAGCATAAAAATAATGAATGCTGACTGCTATTTGATGCTACACCAGCATACCATTTTATCGCTCGGACTGATTATAGCGCTACTTTTAGTGCTGTGTACCTTTTTCCGTGTATTGCATCCGGCCCTTCAATTAACGTTGTCTTCGGTTGTTTGTTGTTGTCCTACCCAATCAGTATATGTTACAGTTAGTACGATGTATTGAAACGCTGCTTATTTTTATTATCAAATTACGAATTATTGGTTTCGATTGCTTACTTTCGAAACGGAAGTAAATGACAGTATCGAATACTTACGGTAATCTAGGTTCAATTACTTATACTTTTGATTAACATGAAAGCTTATATTTTAAACTTCACAGATGATAAGTTAAAAATTTGAAAATTAGATTTATTAGATCATAAAATTAAAAATTGCAATCTATTCGCTATGCGCTTCTATGGTGCTGCCTTTATTGCCACTAATTTCCTGTGTTAAATTTTATGGAGCAAAATAATTGAAGCAGCCGCCGTTGAAAAAAAGTTCTTTACATTTTCATAAGAATACGTGTTAAAGTGACAAGTAGCACCAAATGACAGGTGCATAGCGAATACGCATTGCAGATGTGTAATTAAAGTTATAATATAAAAGTTCTAACTCAGAAATAAGGTAAATCTGCGGAAAAAATAAACTAAAACCTGACCAACTAATACATGATAAATACTAGCAGAATACAAACGGTATAAAAAATTAGAGATAATGCTAAATAAATAAACTAGAAACAGGTAAGTGTCATTTTAGGTTCACTCTTACTTTTCTAAAATTAAAAAATTATATTAATAAGAAGAGTATGTCAATAGGTACATATAGACACAGTATCACAGAATACAGAGTACTTTATAAGTCTTTGATATTTATCAAATATAAAAAAATGGTTTGTTCACTCACATATGATTATACAAACATCATACTCAACGATAATTTTTGAACGTCATTACTTATCTTTCAGTGGAGTTACAATTTTCTTTCTTTTCTTAAGATACATGAAATTTGTTTATATCAAGTGGTCATTAGTTTGCTTGTATGATTTTTTATTTATTAATGAACTACATTATGGATGTATTATCACTTTTGCATTTAAATTTTTTATATTAAACAGGGTACGTCAGTTGCTTTTTGTTTATAATCACTTACATGAACTATAACCCAATCAAATCATAAATACATTAGAATATCGTATTACATGGATTATTTTTTTACACTCATAATTATAAAATACCATAAAAAAACTTGGATACGAAAGATATTTTATTTTTGTATACTATCATTACTCGGTTCTATGGAGAAGATAGAGCAGTTACGAATCTTTCGAAATTAAAATACTAATCAAATGTCATGAATTTAATTATAATATCAAATTATACAGGTCCTCTTCACCAGTTAACGAAACTAATGATGTTAAGAAGCAGACAAATTGTAATACATGATAAGGATTAATTTAACAGGAAAAATGTATGTATTGTCCAAATTGGTGCTAATACTAATAAGTTAATAATATTGAGCCATGCATAGGTTTATTTTTAGTATTTTTTAGGATCACACTTTAAATATTTCTTAGTAATGTTACTAACTCAAAAATTATTTTGAATCAAGTGCACACAACTGACACATGCATAGATGTAGACACAGAAAAAGTTGTCAAAACCTTAAAAAAATGAATTTTTATTAATGAACTAAGAAGTAAAAAATAAGTTTTAGTAGATTTATTTAATAAAAATGGAAGTTATGAAACTACTTATATCTCTGTAACAAAATACACAATGGTTTAGCGTATTTTGTTTTTATTAATTATGTAAAAAAAATATATTACAATTTTTAGTTCATTATTGAAAAGCATTTTTTTTGTAATGTCAGTAACCTAGAATTACTAATAATTTTTTTTCCCGCTCATTCCTTTGGAATTTTCCATGTTGATTCGAAAGTATGTAAGGCAGGAGCCAACAAGCATCCGAAAGGAAGTGAATCACCTGTAAGTTTGCTCGTAGCTGCAGCGCAATGACCAACTATGATTCATGCATATGCACGCTGGCTTATGCTGACTGGAAATGAAAAGCAAACGAAATGCATTTCAACCAATGGATGCAAAAGTTTAACTGGGGACAGCTGCACTGTGATGTATTATGAGATGCTACAATAACTTTAATATATATAGATTAAGATTAAATGACATGATGCTAAATACTACAATAACTTAGAGTTAATACATATAGACTAAGCCCAAGCGAAAATAATATTAAATGCTAGAATTTTTACACATAGTTAGAAAAAACGCATATGCTACACCGTTAGCAAGCAACAACATTACATAACCGATAGAAGTATTAACTACGGTAAACCTAGCGGAGCAACTTTATGAACTCTCAAAAAACTATCTGATTTTTACCATTCATAATCGCAGGCATATAATTTACGTTACTTAAACGAAATATAAAGCGATTTTCCCGCTCTTTTTGCAATAAGTTTGATTAAATTAACGAACAGTGTTTAGCATTCGTAAAAGTAAATAATATTCTATTTTATTGTTAATATTAAGCCAAGATGAAAATCTGTAACATTTTGAAGTAAAAGAGAAAGGAAGGGCATGAGTAAGTAAATCACTTTCCCTTCTCCTGACATACAGAGAAGAGTGAGCTGGATAAGGGAAGTGCCAATTTCTGAGTGGCTCAACTAGAGCAGTTCTAGCCTATTAGATTTTCGGCTATTGTCTTTTCCTCAAGATTTTCCCCCGGCAAGACTGAGGCCCGCTACTCCCTATAAAAAGGCTTGGAGGGCCCAAAAAAATCATTTACTTATTGTTTTCACCTTTGAACGATCAACTGGGTAGCTAGAGTCCACCTCTGCTATCATTTAGTCTCCCACAAGCGCGGTTTCAATTTCGATTTCGGACATTCCGCACTGGTTCGCTACGTGTATACGTATTTCCTTTTCAATAAAAGTAAGTGTTAAAAATTTATCGAATTTTTAAAATTTATGTTTCTTCTTTTCTTTCCAGCGCGCGCATAGAGTCAAACGTGCACACCATTACTCGCGACGATATTGGTGTCCTCGGAACCCCTGGAGATATATTATTAATTAATCTACACGTAAAATCTAGAACGAACACCATTACTCGTGACAGTATTGGTGGATTCGAGATGGATCGCGAATTAAACCATAATTCGCCCCTTCACATAAACTCTAGAAAGACACCTTTACTCGTGACGCTACTGGTAGTTTCTAGATCACGAACAGGACATCTTCAATACGTCGCTCCGGGTACTATTGACAACTCTTAGGTACGCCGCGAGTGAGTGCATCAGGCTACAGCACAACAACCGCTTCGAGTCATTGTAACTTAATTTCCTTCACTCAAAAACATTCGCACCCCCTTTTCGAATACCCTACCACGTAATTCAACTATTGTCTAGTCCCGCGTCCCATCAACACACCCAGTGTGAGTCCCGAGTTATAAAGCGCAAACGTATACTCCAATAATTCGTCAGGCCGACGTAACACTTTATAATATTCATTAATTTTTGCTATTTTTAACTTTTTAGTTATAAATATTTGACTTTTAATGTCATAGGCTGATCAATTGAAAATATTTTTTATTTATACTGTATTTAAATTTCATAATATTCGATAAATAGATGTTTGCTCTAAGGCATAGAAATTGCTGTTATGACACCACATTGTGTATTTAGCCATACGGTAGTAACTCACGGAACATTAACAGGGGCTGAAATGTTAGGTATTAAAGAAGCTTAACAACAACCTAAGAAAATCTCATTGTACTGAATAAACATTTTTTTAAAAGTTGGATTTGAGCCCCGGCCATCAAGATCTAAAGACACACACGCTAACCACAAAACCATGGTGTGGCTGTTTAAAGTACAGATTTTCGATGAAAAAAAATTCAACTAAAAGCGTTACCACAAAGCTGAATTTTTATTAATGTATCTTTGTCAAAAATATTTCTTTAGCTAGCTTACAAACAGATTCAAAATTAATCGCAAGCTTTTACCATCCTACAGTCAGATATTGCAAATAAAATATAAGTGTATGAAAAAAAACAGCGAAAAAATTTTACAGTAAAATGTAGGAAAATTTAGGATACTGTGGTATTTGTAAACATTTTTCTGGTGCACTGATTTTATCATATTTAAATAGCAGAAGTACCTTTTCTTATAACACACACCTTTACTTACATACATCACATGCAATTCTTTAAAAGTCAAGAATAATATTTATGGTCAACTAACTTACTCAGCTCTGCAGCAGAGTAACCAAGTAATTGCTTTAAATCATAAACAAATTTGTAAACAAAACGTTTTCCATGAACTTTACATATCATATCACCATCATAGTAGTATCTTAGTGCTCTACTGAGTTTTTCGTAATTCATGAACGGTTTACTTTTACGAGCTCCCCATAGTTGAGCAACAACTTCTGGTTGATTGAGTTTAAACTCTCCTTCAGTACCCACCCATTGTATTGAACTATTATGTTCTTGACATGTTAGAAGTTCTAGTAGAAACTGCCATAGCTGTATTTGGCCAGTGTTCATCATCTTATTTGATGTAGCTATCACGAAAGGTGTTTATGAATCATATTA